CCTTGCATTGCTTTGTTCAGAATGTGCGCATCAAACTCTGCAGGGGGCATCATAAGGCCAAGAATGGTTTCTTTAAAGTCTCCGCTGAGTTCAGAGTCAAGATCTTTCACTAGATCCTGAAAAATTTACAACACTTTTACTTGTCTTATATCTTTTTCAATAACCACAAAGCTATTAATGGTTATTTTTGCTATTCATTAACAACATTTTTTTGCAAATATATTGTTTTTAAATTACCATTAACAATAATTATTTATCATTTCAAATTCATTGGTACAGCTGTAATTTAACTGGTAAATATAAAGCTACTTTTGGGTAGACAGCCCGGATGGAACCCTACTCTCCAATGATCCGGTTTTCACACAGCCAGCCGGAGATGACCCCATACAAAATCAAACCGCCTCCCTCTTGTTTGAGAGGCAGGCAACTTTACCCTTGCAACATAGGACTGACCATATTTATTGCTATCTGATCTATAAAAATAAACTCAGATGTGGAGATACATTGGTTATTTCTTTTTAAGAATACCTATCCTTTATTATATATATAAAAAAGACAAAATAAAATATATCACAATAACTGTTTTTTGCATTTGACATTTTGGAGTTATAGGAATACATGTTTAAAAACAAATTAATTTTATTTAATTTTGTTTTAAATTTCACTTAGAACACTATTCTATAACATAGTCAAAGCATTTTTAAAAAATGAGGTGGGAGTTTTTTAAATTTTAATAAATATGGATCCCCCAAAGCTTTCTCTAAAAAACTTTTAAAAATTGTCTTCATAGGTACAGGTATATAGTATAATGTATCAAGGTTGTACTTTTAATATACCTTTTTGTAGAGTTCGTTGTATCTTTTCTTGAGTGTTTGTCTCTGAGAGTTAGAGTTCCTGACAATGACCTCAATAATGACATCTTCTTTTGTTCCCAATCCTTTCATGGCTTTGTACAGTTTGATGGCATCTTCATCATTCTCATTGATCTTGTCATCATCTTTCTTTTCTTCTTTTTTCTTGTCCTTCTTTTGTTCTTTCTCATCTTTTTTGTCTTTTTCTTGCTTGTCATCTTTCTTTTCCTCTTTCTTCACTTCTTTCTTTTCTTCTTTTTTCTCTTTAGGTTTTTCTTCTTTAATTAATATTTTTTCTTCCTTTTTCTCTTCCTTCTTGTCTACTTTGACATCTTTCTTTTCTTCTTTCTTCACTTCTTTCTTTTCTTCATTTTTAGCATGAACATCTTTCTTTTCCTCTTTTACAACAACTTTATCTGGACTCTTAGATCTTGGTTGCTCTTTTGCTGGTGCCTTCTTCTCAGGTGATTTTTTTGCTGGTGGCTTTTCCTCACCAACTTTTTCTATGATTTTGACAAGAGTTTTCTTGTAGTCTCCACTTGTGTCACTTTCAACATCTTTCTTGAGGGAGTGACCATAGAGTTGTTGGTAATGGCCTTTGATGGCTGGGAGAGCCAGCTAAAAAAAATATTTAAAAAAAAACATTGAAAAAATGTTAACAGGCATAAATTTAAATTTAAGCAGCTGTAGTACCTACATGAATAATTTACTTACAGATTTTAATATTTATTTTAAATATCACATTTTCTACAAAATAATGTTACAAATAATATACACATACAAGAATTACAGGTGGTCAACTTCCAGAAAACAGAAGACAATTACAATTTTTATTAACTACTTTTATAAATTAATTTTTTTTTAGTTGATCAAAATATACACATAAACATATACCAAGCACACAATTTATCATAAACTAATATCTCACCTCAGATTGAGATACCAGTATATTAATGAGTTGTGTGTCCTTTGTTCCAAGGCCTTTCATGCTGCTATTCAGCCTCTCTGCATAAAATTCTGCTTGGTTTTCTTGAGCTTTCACTGAAAAAACACACAGTAAAGAAATACATTTTCTTTATCACATATCTTATATTATGTTATGAATACCTGTCTCTGCGTAAAGCATATCTTACCCCTACCCTAAAGAACTTTTTTTTTTAAAGAAACTTCAAAATGTTTATATATATATATATATATATATATAATTTACTTTATTTGTTTTCATTTTTTAAAGAAATTGTTATACCTATAAAATGAAAACAGTTTTTTTTCATGCTTGACATACTGTGGGTACTTTCTAATGATAATGCAGTTATCTGCTCAGCATTTTAAAATTGGTTTTTGTTGTATTTACAAATTATTTAAATAGCTTACATATTGCCAGATAAGCAGTTTCAGCTTCTCCACAATTAGCTTTTTTGATCGACTCAGCAATATGTTCATCATACAACTGAAAAAAAATAACAGTTTATTATTTTCATTTCTGAGGTAAAAGTATTACTGTTTTATCTGGTACACAACAGTTTTGAACATCTTTAAATCTTTAATTAAAAATATTAACTTATTTTCTTGAATTCTTTTGAAGATGAAACAATTTTATAATCAATGCAAGGTTAAATTCAAATTGTTTGATTGTTCTTGTAATTTATACACAAGAGATGGAATAAAAGGTCATCACTTTCATTAAAAATTATAAAAGGCTTTAACTTTTATGACATTAATATTTTACTTCTTGATGAGCATTGGCTGTAGCAGTGATTTGAGCAGGGCTGCTCTTAAAGATGTCTTTGACAATGGATGCTTTAGGAGTCTGTTGAACATATTATATCAGGTCAGTTGGGGAGCGAAGTCAAATTACCATAAAATATGTGTTGTTTTATCGTTTTAAACAAAAACATTCGAAATGAAAAACAAAAAGGGTTACAAACTAAAAATTACAAGTTAAAGAAAAAATATTAAAACCAACTAAAGAAAATTTGCCCTGTCCACAAATTGACCAAGTTTATGGTCCTTTAACTTAATTATAAGTTTTCAAAAATTGTTTTAACTATTTGGATTAAAACTTAGGCTATCATGTCAAAGTTATAGCATCATATCATTAAATAAAAGAAAGAAATTATTGTGAGTGTCCCAAAAAGCTACTCAGAACTAACTTCACGCAGAGCTCTAGCATTTTCCTCTGCTTTCTTCTCATCTACTTTTGAATCCTTTCCTTGTTTTCCACTTAAAAGCAAAATTAGAAGATCTTTGAAATCTCCACTGGTCTCTTTTTTCACATCTGATTCAAGGTCATTTTTGAAAGCTGAAAAATATTGGAAAACTAAATTAGTCTCATGGTCATGGATAAATATTTGATGTGTCTGGGCAATGAAGTTAGTTTTAAAACAGTTTGTAGCTGAATAGTGGCACACAACATTACAGCTGGATGCTTTAACATTTCCCTATTTGCATAAATTGACAATAAAGAAAAACAACTTAATAAAAAAGAAAAGAAAAGTCTCAAAATAGTGGATTGACATAGGAAGAGGGGGAAGTCCATCCTTGGCAGAACTGTTTAAAATGAATATAGAGTTTGGCTGCATTTTCAGCACAAAAGAAACAAAGTATAATCTTATTTCATTAAAAATTACTACTCATTATTATCAATATTAAAACTCTAATTGGCTAAATTCTCAACAGTGTATTTGGGCTTTCATTCTGACCCAGTTAAATTCAAATATGAGGTCAAAAAAGGAGCGAAGTAGAAAATAAAAGTTGTCATCTAGGGGATATTCATCAAGGTCGAAATTTAAGAGATATTTTCTTTCGATGATGTGTAATGATTTTAAATAACAAGCTCAATGCTGGCTTATGTGACAAATGGAATAATATAGAACTACACTATAACAAAATAAGATTATGCTTTAGAATTCCTTGGCATGGAGAAGTTAAGACCCAGGAGAAACCACCATTTAATAAAATTAACTTAAAATGCAGTCATTGTGATCTCATTTTTCATTGTAAGTAAAGTTTATTCTTAGTTTAAGTTCAATGAATCTCTATAATATTTTAATTATTATTTCAATGCTATTGTCCAGGTTTTCTGGGGGTGTGGGAGGTAATATCAAAGTCCGCACTGGGCAGCACAATGTCTCCCTATGCCACCGGAAGGTGTCTTAAATAAAAGTCTCACTTTAACATTTACATTTGATGAGGTTCCATGATTTTCATGAATAAAAAAAAAAATTCTTTTCTCCCCCAAAATAATATACTCATTTTAAAGACATATTTTAGGAAGCCAACTTTTTCTCACATTTTTTATAAGCTTTGGCAATTTCTTTGAGCTCATCAGCACTCCTGATACAGATGATGTTAGTCAGGAGACCCTCATCTGTGCCAAGTCCCTTCATGGCTTTGTTTAGAGAGTAGGCATCATAATCCAGTGGTGACATCATGAGAGCCAGAATAGTTTCTTTAAAGTCCCCACTGAGCTCAGAATCAAGATCTTTCACAAGGTCCTGTGGTGGAGAAAAAGAAATTATTAGCAGATTTACCAAAAACAAAATAATTGAAATAGTGTTTTAAGAAAAAAGGGACATCAACAAAATTTATAAATAGCACAAATATTGCAGTATATCTGTTTATGCAAAAGTTCATAATAGCACACATATACAAGCTTTATTGATTTTGAGTGAACTATAAAAAAATTACTTTAAATTGTATATAATTGAGTTAATCTCTGTCTTTCTATGTTTTAAATTTAAAAAGGAACAGTTAATAAAATCCTAACATGAATAAAAAAAAATTATATGTTAAATCAACTATCATAAAATAAATATGAGTTCCTGCAGTTCAAATCTATCACACTATTAAAATCATAATTCTTGTACACCTAACAGGACCAGACCAGAAATACTTATAGCAAATAAACTTTATTTCTTTTATTGTTATATTGAGCTGTAGATCCACTATTTTTAGAATGTCTGAAAAGGGCTTATAGACTTCATAGAAAAAATGGTGGGTGACATCAGGCCTCCATAGGAGTATAACAGCTTATTTAATATTAGCATTTTAAATTCAAACTTTAAAGAATTACAATTTCCATGAGGTAGGTACTTCAAGATAACAAAAATATTTTTAATATACCTTTTTGTAAAGTTCATTGTATCTCTTCTTGAGTGTTTGTCTCTGAGAGTTTGAGTTCCTGACAATGACTTCAATAATGACATCTTCTTTTGTTCCCAATCCTTTCATGGCTTTGTACAGTTTGACAGCATCCTCATCATTCTCATTGATCTTGTCATCATCTTTCTTTTCTTCTTTTTTCTCTTCCTTCTTTTGTTCTTTCTCATCTTTTTTGTCTTTTCCTTTTTTCTCATCTTTCTTTTCTTCATTCTGCTGTATTTTCTCATTTTTGACTTGAGTTTCTTTTGGTTTAGCTGTCACAACTGCAGCTTTGACTGTGGTCTGAGGCTCATCTTTCTTCTCTTCTTTTTTTGTTTCTTTCTTTTCTTCCTTTTTCTCGTTCACTGCCTTAGTATCTTTAGACCTTTCCATAATGAGCACTCCCTTAGCTGGACTTTGAGACCTTGGTTTTTCTTTGACAGGCTCAGCCTTTTTAGCTGGAGGCTTTTCTTCACCAACTTTGTCTATGATTTTAACAAGAGTTTTCTTGTAGTCTCCACTTGTGTCACTTTCAACATCTTTCTTGAGGGAGTGACCATATAGTTGTTGGTACTGACCTTTGATCACAGGCAGGTCAAGCTGTGTGAATCATTGCAAAGTGTTTTAAGTCATTTTATCCTATTTCATTTTGAAACAGTAATATTCATCGATTGATACTCACTGTCAAGCTACAAGGCAAGTTTTATCTTCATTAATTTTATTTTTTACAATTTTGTCCATTGCATAATAAAAAAAAATATAGCAACATTTTTAAAAAGTTGTATAATGAAATAGTTAAGAATGAATGATTGCAGCTATAAATCTATGATTTTCCTAATTTTAATGTAAATTTTAAGAGGCACTTAGGAACACTTTCATTTGCAAAAACAACATGAATAAACTTAGGCAGAGTAATTTTACCTCTGAATGTGAGACAAGTAAGTAGATGAGTTGAGAATCATTGGTACCGAGTCCTGCCATTGATTTCTTGAGACTCTCTGCACAATGAGCTGAAGGGGCATCCTGGGCTTTGGCTACAGAAGAAACATAGAGGAACTGTTATTAAATTTAGCACATCTAGAGCACGTGAACTATCTTTTAGGATTAAGAACACCTTCTATATATTCAAATGAACATTGTGCAGGTGCTTAAACTAGCTTACCATATTTACTGTGAAATGTTTGTTCATTGGCTTTGAAAGGCAAGACTTTAAATTCAGATAAGCATAATGTGACAATCACTTTTTACTTAATACTTTTCAAGAAGTAGCCACTAAAAAGTCCTCAAAATAGATTTTAAAAAAAAAAAAAAAAAAAAGAAAATAAATAAAAAAAAAAAAAAAAAAACAAAAAAAAAAAAATAAGCATAATGTGACAATCACTTTTTACTTAATACTTTTCAAGAAGTAGCCACTAAAAAGTCCTCAAAATAGATTTTAAAAAAAAAAAAAAAAAAATGGAAATTAATTATGTATAAGGCATAAGCACCACATCACTAGAGATTGTTTCATGAAGCGGGGCAACAATTTGTATGAAACTTACCTATTGCCAAGTAGGCTGATTCAGCATCGCCAGAGCAAGCTTTCTTGATAGATTCAATGATGTCTTCATTGAAAAGCTGTAGAAAGAAAACCATAATAATAAAAGAGATGTAAAAAATAATAATTATAGACAATCATTTAATTATTTAATTGAATGGTAAGAACATAATAATCAGAAAATTAATTTTAAACAATATGAATTTATTTAACAATTTTACTATAAGGCCAAAGATTTACACTTTTTTAATTTCATATAGTGGTAGGTCTATATGAATCATAAATACTATTTTAAGATAATCAAATAAAACAGTGATAAAAAAATGAATACTAGTGTTATGTCACTTGCGAAGTAATTTGTACCTCTTTATGTGCAGCAGAGGTGGCTTTGAAGTGATCTGGACCTCCCTTGAAGATATCTTTTACAACAGAAGCTGACAGATTCTGTATTAATGAGAAACAAATAAGTTATAGATCACAGGTTTTATATTAATCTTAAACACTTACATTATAGTTGACAGGGAACATACAAATGTGAACAATGCACAGATAATAAAAGTTAATAGTAAATTTTTATTAATTATTAAATGACATCTTGTTCCAAATAACTCTCATTATACAAATGCATTATTGCATTCTCCTATTATCATAATAAATTCATTTATGAATGTGACCATAGAATAAAGTAATGGATGAACTCTGCTTAATACCTCATGTAATGTCTTTGCATCTTTCTCAGCCTTTTCTTTGTCTGGCTCTTTGGAATTTTTATCTTTCTTTCCACCGAGACGTTGTAGCAGAATTTCTTGGAAGTCTCCACTTGTTTCTTTCTTTACAATGGAGTCCAGATCTTTCTTGTATTCTAGGGACAGAGGCAATTTAAATGCAATGCCAGATTTTTTTATTTTGAACTGGTTTTTCATTTAAAAATTTTAATTTGAGTAAAGTGTTTTAAAGAAATACATGAAGCATGCTTGAATATTTTAATGGGGAGGTGCAGCAGGTAAAGTGAGAGGGAGAAATTAGTGTATAAAAAGTAATTAAAGTTTAAGGGATTTTAAAGTGAACATGTGTTCTCAAAAGTGCATAAAATAGGAAAATTTATAAAATTTATTTAACAATTTTAACTAATATTTTCATATCACAAGTTATAATAGATGTAATTGTATCTCAGTATAAGTGTGTTCCCATAATAGTTTTCAGAACGGGTTTTGTCTAAATTAGTGTCACATTTTAGGGACTGTGAGTGTGAGAAAAAATGATTATGAAAACATAAGAGCCAGAGTGATCAATACAATCATCATGGGCCCTCAAAAAAGTATATAGATGAAGGAGGAGAAGAAGAGGAGAGTCCATTGACTTTTAAAGTTTATATATATTTAAAAAATTCTTCATTAACATTTTACATTGTGTGTTATAAGTTACTAGTTTATTTTCTAAGCTCAAGAGTTCTTTGTAGTTCAATAAACACTATAAGTCCATTTTTAAACCAATTTTAATATGCCTTGTTACTTTTGAAGAATTTCAAGACTTATAAAAAAGGTTGGACAATCTAGATTTGGATAATTTTCCCTAATTATGAAAAGCTTTTTCATTAATATATTCTTTATAGCGGTTCTGCATAATAGCAAAATTTATTAAAATATCAAGGCTTATTTTAAATCACTTTTAATAAGTATGTGTAAGGGGGAAATTAGAAGCCACCAAATCAGATGTCACATGAACTGAAAAATTAAAGACTCAAACCTTTTTTATAGACTTTCTTGATTTCCTCTAACTCTGCATGTGGCTTGGTACAAATGATGCTAATCAAGGTACTTTCATCTGTGCCCAGTCCTTGCATAGCTTTATTAAGACTGTAGGCTTCAAAGTCCACAGGTGGCATCATTAAGCCTAAAATAGTTTCCTTAAAGTCTCCACTGAGTTCAGAATCTAAATCTTTCAAAAGATCCTGGTGTAAAAATAGAATGTGGATCAGCTTTTTTGCAAAGTGAAAACTTTTTTTTAATGCACTGGGTATATTCTTTCCTTTAGATATTAATCTTTCAGTTCCAGTTAAGAAATGCCTAATTAAAATAGGCCTAGTTATGTTCATTATCCATAATTTATTAGTGACTACATGAAATAAAAATTAGGACACTAATTTAGTTTTCATATAAATTGTATTTTTGGTTTAATTTCATTTCTTAACGTTGCTTAATCAAGTTAGTTTAATGGAGAATAAAAGCAGCTTAATTATGTCTAAAATTAACAACAAAATCATATTCTAGGACATTAAATTTACCTTCTTGTAAAGCTCAGTGTATCTCTTCTTAAGTGTTTGTCTCTGAGAGTTTGAGTTCCTGACAATGACCTCAATAATGACATCTTCTTTTGTTCCCAATCCTTTCATGGCTTTGTATAGTTTGACAGCATCCTCATCATTTTCATTGATCTTGTCATCATCTTTCTTCTCTTCCTTTTTCTCTTCCTTCTTTTGTTCTTTCTCATCTTTTTTTTCCTTTTCTTTCTTGTCATCTTTCTTTTCCTCTTTCTTGACTTCTTTCTTTTCTTCTTTCTTTTCATCTTTTTTCTCTTTAGGTTTTTCTTCTTTAATGAGTATTTTGTCTTCCTTTTTGTCTTCCTTCTTTTCTACTTTGACATCTTTCTTTTCCTCTTTCTTGACTACTTTCTTTTCTTCATTTTTAGCATGAACATCTTTCTTTTCCTCTTTTACAACAACTTTATCTGGACTCTTAGATCTTGGTTGCTCTTTTGCTGGTGCCTTCTTCTCAGGTGATTTTTTTGCTGGTGGCTTTTCCTCACCAACTTTGTCTATGATTTTGACAAGAGTTTTTTTGTAGTCTCCACTTGTGTCACTTTCAACATCTTTCTTGAGGGTGTTACCATAGAGTTGTTGATACTGACCCTTGATTAGCGCCAGGTCGATCTAGAGGAAAGTAATGATAAATAATTTTTATTGATTTCACCAATTTCCCTAAGTAAAGCCAACCAATGGAATTTTTTAAATCAGTAATTTAAATCTATTTTATCCACATACCGGTATCATAAAATCATTGATAGTAATAATTTTGCTTAAATTAAGGACAACCCATTGTACAAAGTTCACTTCTCTGCAATGGATAGGGCATGCAAAATTTTCATATCACATCTATAAAAAAGAAACCACCAACTATGTATAATTTATTGCAGAACACACGCCTTGATTTTAATTTACCTCTGATCTGGCAATCACAATGCTGATCAACTGTTTATCTTTTGTTCCGAGACCTTTCATAGCATTATATAAGCTCTCTGCATAGAGGCGCGATGGGTCATCTTGAGCACTTACTAAAGTTATTTTAAAAAATCAATGCTTTTATAGGAAAATATTACAAAACTTCATAGTTTTAAGATACTTTATGATAATATCTCATGCACAAAGGTATTAGAGCCACTATTTTTATTTCACCATATCCTCAAAAGCTAATATTTAATATTATAAATTAAAAATTTTGAACTGAATTATTTTAAATTAAGCTCATTCATAATAAGAGAAGGAACTATTCCAGGTAAAACTTCAATGCAGCTTTGTTTTCTATGATATTTATGCATCAGATTAGACCCTAGAAATATGTTTAGTTTTCAGGTCTCAAAAGATTGTTATGTGCTTGAAATTTAAGTTTAAAATATAAAATTTGTTTTAGCACTAATATTTGAAGCTATTGGGTAATTGATCTGATAAGGTCAGGGCTAAAACATAAATACGTCTGGTAATTCAGCACTAATTAAATAAGGTACACAATGGTTCATTAAAAAAATGTAATTTTTGTTTACACATACACTTACATAATGCCAGGTAAGCCTGCTCAGATTCACCACATTTGGCTTTCTTAATAGATTCCTTTAAATCCTCTTTAAAAAGCTGAAATGTTTTAAGTAAAAGATTGTCAGTGAAAATACTGCTGCCATTATTCCCTTCCTTCCCGTTGTTTCACACATTATA